CACAGTCTGGTTCTATCAAACACAGTCTATGGTTCTATCAAACACAGTCTATGGTTCTATCAAACACAGTCTATGGTTCTATCAAACACAGTCTATGGTTCTATCAAACACAGTCTATGGTTCTATCAAACACAGTCTATGGTTCTATCAAACACAGTCTATGGTTCTATCAAACACAGTCTATGGTTCTATCAAACACAGTCTATGGTTCTATCAAACACAGTCTATGGTTCTATCAAACACAGTCTATGGTTCTATCAAACACAGTATATGGTTCTATCAAACACAGTCTATGGTTCTATCAAACACAGTCTATGGTTCTATCAAACACAGTCTATGGTTCTATCAAACACAGTCTATGGTTCTATCAAACACAGTCTATGGTTCTATCAAACACAGTCTATGGTTCTATCAAACACAGTCTATGGTTCTATTTTCACATCTGTCACAAATGCAGATCCTTAACCATCAGCTCCTAGTGTTTACGAAGGAAAGGCAGGATGTTGTTGTCTGATTTATTCACAAAGTGTTGTTTAAACAAGACTCTTTCTGTTTAAACAAGGTTCATGTGAAGAGATCCTTCATTCGTCCCACAGGGAAATTTCAGAGTTGCATCACAAGTTACAGATCAGTACTGAGCACCCAGTGTAGGATAAGTGAATATTTAGTAAAGCACAACTCTGTATTTAAAAAATGAAATATGTATCAATGATATCTCTGTGTACTGTAGTGCTGAGGTATACATGTACGTATATCTGTAGATACATGTGTAGTATTCTATATTGGAGTAATAAGTCATTAACTTTAAGAATTCACATATTTACCGTGATGATACAACTGCACAAGGAAAGTTTGGTTTAAGTAATGTTCAACGTATGTTTTATATTTTGAGAAGCTTTGACCGTGTGAGCAAACATAACAGGTTGTAAATCCCTGTGATATCTGTTACCTGTAGTACCTCAGTGCTGTACCTATAATACTGTATTTACACGCACATGGACAGAAACATTTAATTATATGATTTGTAATCTCTCTTCTTTTGTTTTTTTTTTTTAATCAATCTTCAGAGGACAGTGCATGATCAAGTAGATTTTTCTTTCAAACATCCAACCAGAAGATAAAACATGTGGAACACAAGTTAAATAAATGAAAACAAAGCAGATATGTTCTTAAGATTAGTCACACTTTAAACCCGAAGCGTAACTCATGAAGCTAAAAAATAACAAGTGAGTAAATGGTTTCTACAGAAGAGAAATGTTCCAACAGCGCCACCTGTTGGAACAATGATTGAACTTCAACAAAACGTGGACAAATGGAGCAGAGAAGGGAATAAGGATTGTTATTCAGGTAAAATAAATCTAAAATCCTTGTTAAATGTTATTGATTATCAGATCAGAGATTAAGGCAGATTTCTGAATCACTGAGGACATGGACCAACCCTAGCTCACTCAGGCCCAAGACTCTTTATCTGTGGATGTAGAAGCACCAAACAAGCGTCCCCTCGTCACATAAGTCAGTGACCCCTAAAAGAGTCCGATCTACGTCTTCTCCAGACTGTGGTAGAAGTCGGTGTGTCTGCGATGCTCTTGGACCGGCATGTTTCTCCTCGTGTGTCTGAGTTTCTGCAGATTTATTGGCACCAGTGCGAGTCCAGGCTGCTCCCCTCCACAGTCGCCCAGCACCTCTCCCCAGGGGTCCACGGCTAAAGCGTGGCCGTACGACGAGCGCTTGTGGTGATGCGCGCCGACCTGCGCCGCCGCCAGGACGTAGCACTGCGTCTCTACGGCTCGGGCACGGAGAAGGATCTGTCCACACGCACAGGTTGTGTTTAGGTTAAAGCTCGGGTTCCTGTATCTGTGGTGTCAGTAATAATCCATGCTGTCTTCTTTGTGTTATGTTTGGCACACTTGTCAGCCCTGGGAGTCACTATTTGACACTTTGGGCTGAGTGAGGGTGGTCTTTTCTTCTTTCTTTTTATGTTTTTATTTTATTTTTTCACATTTTTGTATTACTATTTGACAACTGCTGTGTGAAAAATACAGTTTTTATAATCCTTATTGTCTCTAGTATGATTTCCCTTAAAACCAGCTGTCCCCTGCAGCTCTGTGTGTTACTGTTGTAATGTCATAGTCACTTGGTTCATATTTGTTAAGTCCAAATTCAGTTATTTAATATTGTCCAATCATTGGGTCTAATTGATTGACTGCGGAACCTTCCGCAGTCAATCAATAAAAGTCCTGCCTCTGGTGGTGGCATAGACAATTACAGGCGGAAAGCATTTTTGATTGACTGCGGAACCTTCCGCAGTCAACCATTGGTTTTGTATTTCTTTATTCCGTCATTTTTTTTGACACGTTTCACAGCTTTCACATTTTCAACAATTTCCACAAGTTATACATCAAAACGTTCCACATGTTTGGGAGATTATTGCTATTACTTTTGGGACTTCAGCGATTTCCGGTTTTTCCGCAATCGGACAAAAATCTGCATTGAGAATTCTGCAATGCATTTTAATAGGCCCATGCATTTTAATAGGACTTCAGCTCTTTCAGACATTTCTACAGTTTCAATGATTCAACAGTTTCAAGGATTCAACAGTTTCAAGGATTTCAGCAGTTTCAAGATTTCAAGAGTTTCAAGGACTTCAACAGTTTCAAGGACTTCAGCAGTTTCAAGGACTTCAGCAGTTTCAAGGACTTCAGCAGTTTCAAGGACTTCAGTGTAATCATGCAACCTAATAGGGATTTTTCATGTAAACCAGTATAATGCAACTTAATGGGGATTTTTCCATGTAAACCAGTACAATGCAACTTAATAGGGATTTTTCCATGTAAACCAGTATAATGCAACTTAATAGGGATTTTTCCATGTAAACCAGTATAATGCAACTTAATAGGGTTTTTTCATGTAAACCAGTATAATGCAACTTAATAGGGTTTTTTCATGGTATAATGCAACTTAATAGGGTTTTTTCATGTAAACCAGTATAATGCAACTTAATAGGGTTTTTTCATGTAAACCAGTATAATGCAACTTAATAGGGTTTTTTTTCATGTAAACCAGTATAATGCAACTTAATGGGGATTTTTCCATGTAAACCAGTATAATGCAACTTAATAGGGGTTTTTACATGTAAACCAGTATAATGCAACTTAATAGGGTTTTTTCCATGTAAACCAGTACAATGCAACTTAATAGGGATTTTTCCATGTAAACCAGTATAATGCAACTTAATAGGGTTTTTTACATGTAAACCAGTATAATGCAACTTAATAGGGATTTTTCCATGTAAACCAGTATTATGCAACTTAATAGGGATTTTTCCATGTAAACCAGTATAATGCAACTTAATAGGGTTTTTTCATGTAAACCAGTATAATGCAACTTAATAGGGTTTTTTTTCATGTAAACCAGTATAATGCAACTTAATGGGGATTTTTCCATGTAAACCAGTATAATGCAACTTAATAGGGGTTTTTACATGTAAACCAGTATAATGCAACTTAATAGGGTTTTTTCCATGTAAACCAGTATAATGCAACTTAATAGGGTTTTTTCCATGTAAACCAGTATAATGCAACTTAATAGGGTTTTTTCCATGTAAACCAGTACAATGCAACTTAATAGGGATTTTTCCATGTAAACCAGTATAATGCAACTTAATAGGGTTTTTTACATGTAAACCAGTATAATGCAACTTAATGGGGATTTTTCCATGTAAACCAGTATTATGCAACTTAATAGGGATTTTTCCATGTAAACCAGTATAATGCAACTTAATAGGGATTTTTCCTTGTAAACCAGTATAATGCAACTTAATAGGGTTTTTTTCATGTAAACCAGTATAATGCAACTTAATGGGGATTTTTCCATGTAAACCAGTATTATGCAACTTAATAGGGATTTTTCCATGTAAACCAGTATAATGCAACTTAATAGGGTTTTTACATGTAAACCAGTATAATGGAACTTAATAGGGGTTTTTACATGTAAACCAGTATAATGGAACTTAATAGGGGTTTTTACATGTAAACCAGTATAATGCAACTTAATAAGGATTTTTACATGTAAACCACTACATGTAAACCCAGTATAAAGCAACTTAATAGGGATTTGTACATGTAAACCAGTATAATGCAACCTAATAGGGATTTTTCCATGTAAACCAGTATAATGCAACTTAATAGAGATTTTTCCATGTAAACCAGTATAATGCAACTTAATAGGGATTTTTCCATGTAAACCAGTATAATGCAACCTAATAGGGATTTTTCCATGTAAACCAGTATAATGCAACCTAATAGGGATTTTTCCATGTAAACCAGTATAATGCAACCTAATAGGTTGCATTATACCACCAGACCAAGACCCAAACGAAGACTCAGACCACCACCAGATAATGACCACAGACCAGGTTTCCTTAGTTACAGGAACCAAATTGTTTCAGCGGTGAGGGGATTTTTCAGTTTCAAGGACACTTTCAATACATTCAGTAGTTTCAAGGATTTCAACTGTTTAAGAATTTAACCAGTTTCAAGGATATCAGGAGGTTCAAGGATTTCAGGAGTTTCCACACTTTCAACAGTTTCCAGGTTTAAAAAAAGTTTCAAGGATTTCAGGAGTTTCAATGTTTCAACAGTTTCAAGGATTTCAGGAGTTTAAAGGTTTCAACAATTTCAAGGACTTCAGGAGTTTCAAATATCTATCAAGTATTTTAACAGTTTCAAGGCCTTTTAAAGGATTTCAAGGATTTTTTTTAGCAGATTTCCACATTAGATCTGTTCCGCAGTCAATCGCAATGGCTTCAGCCATTGCAAGTTTCTAGTTATAATTGTCTTTGTGCAAACTATTTAATGGTTGAATTTATGATATATTTATATAAAATGTGAGAGGTTTTGGTTCAGATGTACTGCCTTAAACCTTCAGGCAGTGGGTGTCAAGGCTAATTTGATTTTGTGTTTTTAGATTTGATATATAAAGATTAGATTAACTTTAACTGCATTAAACCTGCACAACATTTATCATTACAGCAGACTGTGGAACTTTATGAGAATCTATATTAGAACTTGAAGGAGCTTGTAATCACAATAAACCTTAGTTTCATAGCACGTTTGGACATTGACTCAGAGAAAGCAGCTGCAGGTCAATCACAAGCTGAGGTCCAGAGACTACAGTTAATGTTTTATGTCACTACAATATTATTATAACTTATTTACCTCCCAATGAGCGGCGCCTGTTGCTACAGTGAACGCAGAAGGAAATGTCAAAACCTCTGCTCCCTGTCGTTGTAAGGCCAATGACAGTTCAGGGAATCGCAGATCATAGCAAATCCCCTGTCCAACCTAGACACATAGAACATTTAGAAATATTAAATCCATTTCTCTGTGAAGACGTCATTTATAAACATTCTTTTAGACCTTGCCAATGGGAGTCTGAACCGGTGCAATGAGTGAAGGTCCAGGAATAGTAAAAGCACTTTCTTTGAGGGACACTCCTTTTTCTGGCAGCTCCACATCAAACAAATGGGCTTTTCTGTAGACCGACACTATTTCTCCTGTGGACAGAATATGCACGTGAACGCATCGATAAACACACTAACAGTATGGGGGGGTATGTAGATTACCTTTATCGTTGATTATGAGGTGACTGTTGTAAATTCTCTGGTCTGTGTTCCAGTTTGGTCCTCGTTCGTGAAACCCACCAAGCGACAGCCACAGCTCTAACTTTCTAAAGAAATATAGAAGAGTAAATTGTGTGAGCAATATGGCAACGCAATGCATTAAAATACTACTTCAACTTGCATACAACTGGACAGCATAGTTACCTGGCTATCTCAGAGAATCTTGTTACTGTCTGACCATCCAGGCTCTCAGACAGTGACAGTGTTTCCTCTCGATTTGATCCAATGTAATCAAACCCCTCCGGCAGAAAGACCATGCTGGCTCCTCTATCTTTGGCCTCCTCCACCAGGGTTTTACAGGCTGAAAAGTTGGCTTCTTTATCTGGCGTGGCAGTGATCTGACAGACAGCAGCCACTGGAACAGAGCTGGACATCCTGCATTAAAAATGATTGTCATTGACATAACATTTGCAATGAAAAGGGATTTTAGATGTAAATGCAACTCAATTATTAGGGCTATACTCGAAGATAGTATAGTAGTGTATTAAACATGTCCTACCTGTTCAATATCTGATTCCTCCACAACGATGAGAGAAACAAATGCTTTGAAGCAGTCAAAATGCACCTGCTACTGAACATTGAACCTAGTTTACATTTAGTGCAATATTAACATACTTAATGTTTACTGCTGCTCATATCCAGCCTGGATCACTTGCTCCGTCGGTGAACTGAAGTGACTGTAAACACATATCCTCCTCCTGCTGGACATGATTCGTAAATATTGTAGCTTTAAGTTGGTATTTTCTATACTCTAACAAGAACTAGAATACAGCGTTAAATATGCATTACAATGTGTATTGATGAAATAAAACAAATGATTAAAACTAGGACGAGGAACAGAATATTAGTCAGGCATTGTCCAGGGCCACTTCATAGACTCCTCAGGGGTCCTTTCTGGATGTATCGTAGCCACACCTTTCCAAGATGGCGGCCAACAGCAGCAGCACGGGAGGAAAATCCAGCAGCGGTAGTGGCGGAAAACTGTCCGGCCTGACCGCGGAGCAGGTACACATGGAACACTGCTGTTTTATGAGCAGTGTTTTCACCTAAAGGTGTTTTAATTCCATAAAGAGTCACGTGACGGCTCAGCCGTCCAGTCATGTTGCTAAGTGATGCTAACATTAGCCTCCATCAGGCTAACGTGATTCTTCTAATAGATACACCATACACTTTCACTTTTGCAAACAGAAATAAACTGGTTCTTGGGTCACTTGTTTTACTTTGTAAACCACCTTTATCCTGTTTTCATGAGTCTGAAAACCCGCTCCAGTGGGTTTGGCCGCAAGACCTGCTATTTTTAACTCTCCTCAGTTTACAACTTTTAGTTTAGTGCAAGAAAGGATTATACTTTTCATAATTTCATAATGCATATACATACGAATGACTTTCCTTTTATAATGCATCTATTCTCTGCTTGTTTTTTCTTGTGTTTTATGATTTAATGACATGATTATATCTTAACACATGTATCTGATGTCTTGCAGGTGGTGGGCACGTTTCAGAGGATGCGGCAGGAACAACGCAGTATGGCATCAAAAGCTGCGGAGCTGGAGATGGAGATCAACGAACACACGTAGATTAAACAAATGAATTAAGCTTGTCTACTTTATCTAACACATAATCTCTTTGTCTTTTCAGTTTAGTTATAGACACCCTCAAAGACGTTGACCCTTCTAGAAAATGCTTTCGTCTTGTTGGAGGAGTTTTGGTCGAAAGAACAGTAAAAGAAGTCTTGCCAGCTTTGGAAAGCAACAAAGAACAGGTAATTTATAAAAATAATTCATGTTTGTTGTTCTTATTTTTTGTTAAATCCTGAAAAAAACAATGATTTTATCTTCCACAGATTTCCAAAATAATTGAAACGATTAACACGCAAATGCAGACAAAAGGGCGGGAGCTTACAGAGTACAGGGAGAAGTACAACATTCGATTGGTCGGCGAAGGAGAGGCGGAGTCACAGGCCACACCCTCTGACCAGAACAGTGAAGGAGGCGGCTCTAAAAGTGGAACTGGTGTTTTAGTGTCTTAACTTCTCATTACAAATTTGGCATCAGATATGTCTGAATTCTGTATTCAAATCTAGGTTTAGTCATTGAATTCAAGTTATGTATCTTTTCACAATCACTGAACTGTCTCGACACAGGTCACATCATGTCTTCTGTAATATTTATGTCATTTGTAAGAACAGTTGTTGTTTATACTGTGTGGCTCATCTCTACTGTCTGCATGTTGGAATAAATTCATGGACAATAAAATCTTGCACCTTTTTGACTTTATCATGTCTTTGTCATAAAGAATACTGACACATTAATAAACTAAAAATATAATGTAGCTTGGGATTAATAACTTCTCCCCATTATTCAAAAAATGTTCAAATCAACATTTTGATGCTCCTGTTATGCATTTAGACATTTATACATTTCTCAACCTCAACAGGAGTATTAGGGCTCACTTGTATTATCTGGCCGAATATGTGAATATTGTGAATATTCTGTGAATATTCCCTAGAAAAGATAAGCAATATTTACAGTATATGAATCCATCTCAATTATAGTGTTGATTATGGAGCTACATACAAAGCCACGTGTACCACTGGACCCACTGGACCCCACTGGTCCATCCGAATCTACTTTGGGGCGATACTTATCGTCTGAATCTTTTCCATGCAAATATGTAGTGAGGGGCGAAATGTATCGAGACTTCCAAACTTGTGTCGAATAATCGGTGCAGCCTCAAAGCGAAGCGTGGCTCGGAGCGTGGTTTGGTGACGTCAGCGAACCACGTGACTGATTTAGGAAACCCCAAGGATCTATAATAATAACCAGACCACGTGTCATCTGAAACATGAGAGGTGGGTCCGTGTTGTTGGTTTGGTGTTTGCAAAAGCTCGAAGATGGAACATCCAAAAAAAGGTAGAGGCTCTTTTAGTGCTCGTGTGTTGCCGCCACAGACTGTTGCCACAAGTGTCTTAAAGGAGGAGAAATCTTCATAAAAAGGAACCGCCTAACTTCAGCCATGAACGACAAAAACGTTTTACTTATCTTGTTATATATGAGCACATTCCTTACTAATTATGTGTTTCATGATCCTATCACATGTTATGAAGAGCATTTACTGTAGATAGTGCTGTAATGGACATTTTGGCCTCTGGATGGCGTAATAGAATCATTATGAAGCATCAGTACCTGTACGGTACCGGCCCAGCTGAAAGTGTTGATGCTTCACGGAGCCTTGTCTGATCACTACAAATATTACTCTAGTGACTAATTACTGCTTAATGTTGATCATTTGTTTCGACATGACTTTTAATGATAAAGACAAATAAAAAATAGTTTGATGATATTGTAAGTGGACCAGTAGTAAAACATGGTTTCTTGTGGCTCAAAACAAACAGTAATGCAAACAAGAGTATTGTTTATTACACATTACAACTATGTGTTCAATATCAAAAACATAAATGTATGTCGACGAGGATGGGATTCGAACCCACGCGTGCAGAGCACAATGGATTAGCAGTCCATCGCCTTAACCACTCGGCCACCTCGTCCCTGAATCTGTGTACGTTGCTGCGCAGATACTTAATGGAAAGCCATAAAAATAACACGTAAATGATTTAAATTATTATTTTTATGCACGGCTACTTCAAACAGTAAAATCACATTTTCGTGTTTGTGTTAGAGCACGAATAAAACACTAATTAATTACGTTTTGAAGGCGAGAATACAAATGACATGCGCTGTTACTAGTTCCATTACGGTAATTGTAATAACGCGTCACAGCGCTACCCTGAGCCAGCTGCAGCGGGGAAAAGCCGTGTTTTGATGGCGATGAATGAAAAAACACACATATTTTCCATTGAAGGGAGATCACGGCTACATCCACACATGAGGTTCCAGTGACAGAAACGCAGTCATGTCTGCAGTAAGTACCGTGTTTAGCTGCAGCGTTAGCATGATGGTGGTGGAGAGAATAGCAGGGACGCCTGGGCAGAAATAGCTTGCGCCTTTCTCGCTGTTTGGACTTGCTTTGACTACGGTACCACTTTCATCTGTAATGCATCTATCAAAGAAATGCTCCGTTTTCAAAGTAGTGCTGAGTGCTCTGCTCATGGTGGCGCTGCTGCAGCTCATATACCTCTCATTCTTGTCCAAATTCCACGGCAAACAACAGCGGTACCGATACTCCGAGCTATTTGGAAGCTCTGGATCCAAAACGAAAGGCACACAACCTGAGAAGAACGCACGGAAGGAGCGACTGAGGTACTCCCTGTCAACTGGTGGGATCTTTGATAACAGTGGCCAATATAGGATTTATAAAAACCTAATAAAAAGTGACACTACCGCTAATCTAAAGCCAGGGTCCCAGGAAAGCCCAAACATCCTCTCCCTGGCTACTCATACAACCCTCAACAACCTGCATCACCTGGATTCCCTTTTGGAGAGGTGGCAGAGCCGTATGTCTGTCGCTATATTTGCACATGATCAAGATGTTAAATTTGCCACCGCTTTGGTTTATGCACTTAACTTTTTCTGCCCCAGAATACAATCACTTGTGGATTTCCACCTGGTCTGCCTTTCTGGAGAAATGGCCAGTTTCCCTGAGCAAGATCGGGAGCATTTTGTTGGACTTGATGACTGCTCTGCTGTGTTTAAAAGACTGGAAGAGCATAGGGATAAGTCTAAAAACTATGCCATAACTGGGAATGTCTCCTATCCTAACAACCTGCTTCGCAATGTGGCAAGAGGTGGTATAGATTCCGCTTACATCTTTGTGATTGACATTGATATGATGCCGAATTCAGACCTGCATCTACAGTTTCAAGCTATGATCATGGCCCGTGAACCAAAAAGCGACGAGGTTTTTGTCTTGCCTGCTTTCGAGATCCGCCACGACCGCAAAATGCCAGCCACAAAACCAGAGCTGGTCCAGTTGTACCAGGTGGGAGAGGTGAGGCCGTTCTACGAGGAGCTGTGTCCACGATGCCAGGTCCCTACCAACTACTCCCAGTGGGTGAACATCCACGTGAGGGGGGGCGCGCCGCTGGAGGTGTCCTATTGGCTGACGTGGGTGGACCCCTGGGAGCCCTTCTACATCGGGCCTCGCTCTGTGCCGCTGTACGACGAGGGCTTCAAGCAGTACGGCTTCAACCGCATCAGCCAGGTGCGTGTCCCGGCACAAGTATACACAACAGTACTCATGGGTGATACGCTGAGACTGGGTCCATTTGCAGTAAAACCACATTGGAATACATTTGCAAAAGTCCCCAGTGTGCACCAGACAAATACCAAGATAAAACAAGGTTAAAAGTGCAGGAATAAAACAATCGATCGACTAAAACAGTTTCAATAACAAGTGCAAGATCATAAAAAGGGCTTTGTTTAAACTGATTATAGTTTGTGGAAAGAAGCTGTTTGCAAAAGCTAGATGTCCTGCGACTCAATGAACGATATCCCCCCCTCCCCGTTAGCGAGGTAACAAAGTATAAATACATGTAGTCAATACCCCCCTCCCCGTTAGCGAGGTAACAAAGTATAAATACATGTGTCTGACCCTGCACTATGTCCCTCTCTCTCCAACGACTGCCAAAACGTTGTACCTTTCCCTTTCAATATCTCTCTAATCCTTTCATCCCTTTGTTTGTTTTAGGCTTGTGAATTACATGTGGCTGGATACAGGTTTTCCGTTTTAAATTCGGCTTTTGTGGTCCACCGGGGATTCAAGATTCAAGGGGAGTTCCACGCCAAGAAAGACAAGGAGAACAAGCAAAATCGCGTCTTGTTCCGGAGCTTCAAAGAGGGACTGAAAACCAAGTATCCGTCCTCGTCACGGAGGTGCTAAAGGGATTTTGTAATTATAGACTTGTATTTTTACATTTTTGAATGAAACTTTGTCACCTAAGTAACTCCTGAGGCTTAAGTTCAGATTTGAAGTCAGGATGAAATCATTTGGTGCCAGTTTTAAACGTGTGTGAATTCATGAAATACAGCCCAAAGGATTTTCCAGAGGATCCTGTCGAACTCAAAGATTACAGAATAAAAATAAGAAATATGGTGTTATTTAGGGGTATCTAAACTTTAGCACACATATACAGTAGATCAATCATTTACATTATTTACACTAAAAGCTGTAATATTGTAGTCATCGTTTTGAGTAAATGTGGGAGATGAAACATTATTTCTCTGAGCATGGAAGCCAAAATGCAGAATGATCCAGGATTACTCAAAACTATTAGAAACTTGTTATCTGTGCATTATTTATAAAGAATCTACAAAAATCAAAAAGGTAAAAAAAAGTAAGGGAACAGTAAGATTTACATATTTTTGTCTCTTTCACAAATGACTACTTCCAGAGCTATGGACCAGGGCGGACCCATCGATATTGGGTTTATGATATAATCTTATTTGTGGATTGCTTTACTGGCTGAAAGAGTCTCAGAGTAGATTTGTTTTAACTTTCTGTTCTGTAGTTAAAGTTCTGTAAAATTTGACCCATTTTGTAATTCATTAGCAATGATTTCAGGGGGAAACAATTGCTATTTCTCCTTCACTGCTAACGAGAGCTGGATGAGTGCCTCGCTAACCATAGCTTAGGAATGTTGATCTCTTCTTCTTACAAGATTAGCGTTGTTTTTCTGCTATATCAATTAGGCAGGTAATTGCATTGTTGTCCTAATGGAATGATGGATTTACTTACTGAAGTTTAGCTCTGTTTTTATCTCCTGAAAAAGTACAAAATGATGAAAATGAATCTGACTAAACACAATCACAATATTCAGGTAATCATTAACGTGCCCTTATCCTTCAGCCTCCTATTGCCATGATGATCAATGACAGTGTATCGCCACTAGAGGGCGTCGCAGATCGCCGCAATGGACACTACTGTATGTCTCACACAATAGAAGCTGCTGTGAAGAAAGAACATTGTTTGGATTCTTTCAAAATAAATGAATGACCACTGATACAGAGAAGTGATCGGAACTCGTTATAAAGTTTTAACTCGGGAAATGAACGGCTTTTATATCACTGTTTTTATGGCAGCTCTTGAAAAGCATTTACGTGTAGCATGGACACAACGTGAAGTTCATGGAAACGACTGAAACAAGCCACACAGACGTCTTCGAAACATCAGTATTTTCCACCACGGCTTCATTTGTTGTGATATTGAGTATTTGCGAACATGTTTTCATTCATATTTATTGTGTTAATATTATGTTTGTGGCTCCGAGCAGGAGAACTGTAGCACAAGATGTCTGAATATTTAGTTTGTGCGATCGGCCAACAATGTACACACAACAATGACACATATTATTGATTTAAGACTGGAATTTGTTTTCTTGTGTCGTGTGAGTTTGAATAAATTGAACTTTTAATAATTTGTGTATTGTGTGTTTGTTTGTGAGTTAAGTAATTAGATGTGTTCAGTTGACACTACCTTCAACATTGGGATTTGAATGTATACAATAAATAAATACAATATTTGGTGTCAAATGAATGAATTGATGATTTGGGGAAATGAATTGTTACTAATTTGTAGTTAAGTTTACATTTTTTTCTGTAAGACCTTCTGTTTGAGTCACGCATTCAGCTCCAATGACTCCCAAGTTGTCGGTGAGATCAGCAGGAATCACTTTTGATCGATTGTGTTTAATCCCAAACAGTGATATCTATAATATATATCTGTTCTCATTATAGATATATATATATATATATATCTAAAATGAGAACAGTTCTTCACCGCAGCAACGATGCCAGAAGTGTTTGTCTCAATGTTGTATTTGGATATGAGATCTATCCATGGACTTTAGAATAATGAAACTTATGAATGGGGAGAGTGTCATTTGCAGTTGTTGACACAGTTGAGGTAAAGTTGTGTAACTCGGCTTAAAGGAGAGCTTTAAAGAACCACTTGTGTGATGCTGGTTAAAAGGCGAGGGAGGTCAGCAGCCAATTAAAAGGTCCCACAGGTAAAATACAGAAGGTTTTAGTGGAAACCTACAGATCCAATTACCTCTTCATTATAGCACAGGACGATTATTCAATAGAGTGGTTTGTTTTCAGGAAGCTCCCAAAGGATTTAGAGTTTAACACATCTATAATAAGTATAAGTATCGGGTTATACAGTATTATGGTATTTTTTGTATCTGTTTTCCTTGCTTTGTCATAATAAATATTACATAGATGTTTATAATGTGGCTTCTGTTGTAAGATTATTGTACAAAATTAAATAAACATGTAGGGGCTCCCAGGCTGATTACGACGACACTGTTTGTGTAAGAAAATACAAATGTTATGTCCAAAGTTCCACATGCACTGGAACTAGTGGTTAGTTTCATCACTTTTCTTTAAAAGTACTGAAACGTGTTAATCACAAATGTAGGGGTAATTATTGCAGATAGTTACAAATGTTGTATAGAGTTATGAATATATATGTTAAAATAATGTAAACAAAATGTAACGGATCCTGTAATAAAGATCCATTTAGAGCAGACCAGTGACTTTCAATCATAACCTTTAACCATGCTGTAGTTCTGTGTCTCTGTGGTCCGTCTGTCCACTGTAAATGTGGTCCGTCTGTCCACTGTAAATGTGGTCCGTCTGTCCACTGTAAATGTGGTCCGTCTGTCCACTGTAAATGTGGTCCGTCTGTCCACTGTAAATGTGGTCCGTCTCTGTCCACTGTAAATGTGGTCCTTCTCTGTCCACTGTAAATGTGGTCCGTCTCTGTCCACTGTAAATGTGGTCCTTCTCTGTCCACTGTAAATGTGGTCCGTCTCTGTCCACTGTAAATGTGGTCCTTCTCTGTCCACTGTAAATGTGGTCCGTCTCTGTCCACTGTAAATGTGGTCCGTCTCTGTCCACTGTAAATGTGGTCCTTCTCTGTCCACTGTAAATGTGGTCCGTCTCTGTCCACTGTAAATGTGGTCCTTCTCTGTCCACTGTAAATGTGGTCCGTCTCTGTCCACTGTAAATGTGGTCCGTCTCTGTCCACTGTAAATGTGGTCCGTCTCTGTCCACTGTAAATGTGGTCCGTCTCTGTCCACTGTAAATGTGGTCCGTCTCTGTCCACTGTAAATGTGGTCCGTCTCTGTCCACTGTAAATGTGGTCCGTCTCTGTCCACTGTAAATGTGGTCCGTCTCTGTCCACTGTAAATGTGGTCCGTCTCTGTCCACTGTAAATGTCCAGACTGAGGTCCAGACTGAGGTGCAGAATGAGGTCCAGACTGAGGTCCAGACTGAGGTCCAAAGTTCACCGTGTTCCTCTGCTGTGGCGGCCATATGTTTGTAATGCACGTGAGATACAGCAGCGTTTGAAGCCTGCTTTCTGCACAGCTCAGTGGTGATCCAGGCACAAGACACACGCTACGCCACGCTCTGCTTTTTAGCTTTCGGTTTTGGTCAAAGGGACATCGTCGTCGGCATCATTACTGCCGCTCCACTGGGCAAACACAACTGTTGCTTTTCAGTCGCCTCCAGTCTACCGACCTCTAATGAGAAGGACAGCTCACGTGCTCATTACCAGCCATCTGACCACAAAGACAAAAGACAAAGAACCAGCCTACAATGTTAAGTGTGAAACCAGAAAGTTTGGGTGATGCCATAAATCTATTTTATCATTATTCATTATCATATCATTATCATCATGATACAAGTGATCTAAAATTTGTGTTGGAGCTTGAATTACACAGTATTTACCTTGATTTGATACAGAAGAGTAATGCATGGTTAGTTTATACAAAGAGAATCCCACACGCTGCTGAACATCCAGGGGGAGGACATTGAGCTGGTGGACAGCTTCAAGTACCTGGGTGTTCACATTAACAATAAACTGGACTGGTCCATAATACAAACGCCCTGCACAAGAAGGGCCAAAGTCGCCTCTTCCTTCTGAGGAGGCTGAGGTCCTTCGGAGTGAGCAGGCCTCTGCTCAGGACTTTTTATGACTCTGTGGTAGCTTCTGCCATTTACTACGCTGCCGTGTGCTGGGCCCCGGGCAGCACAGAGCGGGACAGAAACAGACTGAACAAGCTGGTCAGGAGGAGGTGAGGGACAGGAGGCCCCTGGACTCTGTGGAGGAGGTGAGGGACAGGAGGCCCCTGGACTCTGTGGAGGAGGTGAGGGACAGGAGGCCCCTGGACTCTGTGGAGGAGGTGAGGGACAGGAGGTGCTAGCCAAAGCCACCTCCATCATGAACAACACCTCCCACTGCACAGGACTGTAGAGGAGCTGAGGAGCTCCTTCAGTGGAAGACTGAGACACCCTCAGTGTAGGAAGGAGCGCTACCGCAGGGCCTTTATCCCCACTGCTGTCAGACTGTACAATAAGTCACTTTAACCTCCTAAGACCCGAGCACTTTTTTGCAATGCATTTTTTATTTATCTTGGCTAATTGGGCATATTGGGGCCAGATAAGAATATATACTAAGCATCATCTCTTGACATGATGTAAATTTTGAGAAAAATGCTGTCCACATATGTGGACGCTCGGTCTGAATTTCCATAAAAAAGGCAATTAAGTAACGACTGTGTAATAAAGTGCAAAACGCTTTATTTCGACACAAACATTTGATAAATGAACAATATTGAACAAGGAACATGTTCAAACATATCTCAGTGCAAAAATAGCAAAAAGAGTACTCGGATGATCCTGGGAGCTATGTTGTCTGGGGATTCATGCCCCTGGTAGGGTCTCCCATGGCAGACAGGTCTCAGGTGACGAGTCAGACGAAGAGCAGTACAAAGACAACATAAATAGCATGATATTAAGAACTGTGACGTCGCCCGGCATGGCACAGGGGTTGCAGAGGCAAAAACCCGGGACTGGGAGGAGTTTGGAGAGTCCATGGAGCATGACTATCGGTCGGCCTTAATAAATTGAAGATATTCTGGCAAACCGTCCGGCGCCTCAGGAGGGGGAAGCAGTTCTTTGCCAACACCGTGGACGGTGTTGGGCGAAGAGCTGCTGACCTCCACTGGGGATCTTGTCGGGCGGTGGAAGTAATACTTCAAGGTTCTCCTCAATCCCCCCGTCACGTCCTCCAGAACGGAGGCAGAGGTTGAGGATGTTGGGGCAGATACCTCCATCTCCCTGGCAGAGGTCACCAAGGTGGTTGGCAGCCTCCTTGGTGGCAAGGCTCTGGGAGTGGATGAGATCTGTCCTGATTATCTAAAGTCTATTGTAGGACTGTCTTGGCTGACATGTCTCTGCAACATCGCGAGGCGATCGTGGGCAGACCGGGATGGTGGTCCCTCTCTACAAGAAGGGGGACCAGAAGGGTGTGTTCCAATTATTGTGGGATCACACTCCTCAGCCTTCCCGGTAAGGTCCACTCCAAGGTACTGGAGAGGAGGCTACGGCCGATGGTCGAATCTCGGATCCAGGAGGAGCAGTGTGGTTTTCATCCCGGCCACGGAACACTGGACCAGCTCTATACTCTCCATCGGTTCATTGAGTGTTCATGGGAGTTCGCCCCCAACCGGTCCACATGTGTTTGTGGATTTGGAGAAGGTGTTCGACCGTGTTCTCCGGGATGTCCTTTGGGGGGTTCTCCAGGAGTACGAGGTATTCTGCCTTAGGGCCTTACGGGCGCTGTATGACCGGAGCCAGAGCTGCGTTCGCATCAGCAGTAAGTCAGACCATGTTGACCTCGGCCAGGGCTGCCCTTTGTCACCGGTTCTGTTTACTGTGTTTATGGACAGAATTTCTAGATGCAGGAGGGGGTCCGGTTCAGGGACCACAGGATTTCATCTCCGCTTTTTGCAGACGATGTTGTCCTGTTGGCTCCGAGGTGCCTTGCCCTCTTCAGGTGGGTGGAGAGGTCCTT